TGGGGTGACGAATTATCGTCTACCATCCTATTTTTTAGCAGGAAATGTGAAAAATACCCTTGCTAGGATTCGAACCTGAACCCGTGGAATAAGCGCTGAGTATGTTACCGTTACACCACAAAGGCAGAAAATACCTTATAACCTCCTAAATAATTTCATTTTTAAATTGAATTTTTAATATAGTGATTGACTATTTTTGTAAAAATATTTAAATTAAAATCTTACGATTTTCCATTCAACAAAAGACGGAACACATTATTCAATTACTTCTTCTTTCAAGAAAAAGTAATACAGCGCTTATAACGCAGAAAGAAAAGAAAGTGAAAAACCGTATCCTATTTGTAGAGCACAGGAACACATCAGCCCCAAAACATAATTTTCCTCTGAATTGGAAATAAGGGTACAAATGTAATGCAGATCATTACAAGATTATGATGAAACACAAATTTTGACAGAATTTACATTAATCAAAATATTGAGATAAATCTTTCAGTTAATGTATTAAAGTGAATCTTGTTTGAATAAAAGTGTGCCGTAACTGCAAACTTCTTCCTTCTGATGAACTGTTAAATTTTTCTTTCTTTCGTATTAAATTTTAAATAAAGTCTGACCAAAAATAGTTTCGGTAATGCATTTGATAAACGTAGAACAAAGTAAAATAAGCCCCCCTTTTTTTAAATACCCGCTGAATATTTATTATAGATCTTAAATAAGAAAGGAAACACTCTTTCCAGTAATTTCAAGTTAATAATTTTCCTTTTTGCTGCTGAAAGTAATCATTCATTGACTTGATTTATTTCTTGAATAAGCCACCTAGACTGGTGTTAGTAATTAGGGGAGTCTACTGGGCACCGATGAAGGGCCCTGGCTCGAATACCGGAGAAGGCATGGATGTTTGTAAATGTAACGTGTCTTTGCGGCGTGAGGACGCTTTAAACATATGGCGAATCGAAAGTCCTCTCGAGAGGTTGTTGGTAGGGAAAGAGGGGGGGGTTCGGAAACCCTAGAACCCGTCCTCGCAAGGACTCTGTCAAAATTGGGGACGGAACTGAGCGAAGTCGTACTTATTCTGATGTTACTGTCAGACAATTTACATAAGTCACAACAAAGCAACAGCAACATTCCTTCAATAAACTGTATGCTGCTTCCTTTTCTTCTTATTACAACTGAAAATGAGGCTAAATCTTTAAATCTAAAAATTCCAAATCCGTTGATGCAGCAAAGAATTTTTGAACATCTTACATCGCCCATGTATAATGCTAAAAACATTTTCAATTAAGAGCTCGATTAAAGAAAGTTATTTAAAGATTAATTTAATTAAATTTTTCATTTGCACAAGAATATATACCTTTCCAAGAATAATATGTTTAAAATTTGTCAGTTTTAAATTAAAAATTGAAAACTGTTTGTTAATAATATCAGCTGTGTTTTTTGATGCCTTCTGTAGTGATACACAAGCCAATCAAATTTAAATTAAATGTACCTTTGAAGAGAAGAAAATATGTGAAGGGCAAATAAGAAGCCTTCAGATGTTGAGCTATTCGGCACTGCATTTTATAAGATTAAAAATTAACTAAATTAAAAGTATTCGTAACTGTAAGAAACCTAACAGCAGTAAAATTTAAAACAACATCCATATTCATAATTTATGGAAATGTTGCTCATATATTTATCGAAGTTAGATTCTTCAGTGATTTGTAAAAATGCAAGACAAATACTAACATATCTTTACACATAAATGCAAAAGCATTGACACATGGGCGGATGGGGGTAGTCTGACCATCACGGCTAACTTTCACGAAGGTGCCGATTTCTTTTCGCGAGTTAGCAATTTGTTGCCATGACACAAGGGTACTCCACCAGAAAGGCGCAAAGGTGCCTGACACATTTGTGAAGTTCAGTTTAAACCATGAAACATACAACTTTCATCAAAATGCTGCGATGCAAGCTATCTTTATTTTAGTGAACAGATCCCCACTAGCATAAAGGTGCCGGTATCATTGTGAAATCCTCAGGGTGACCAGACGTGAATATTTTTTGCTTTTGTAGAGTAAATAATTGCATCTAACGGTTACAATTTGCTATGAGTTAGAGACGATGATTTTAATACGTTTGCAATTAGTTTACCTTTCAGTTTTTCCTAAGGGGAGCTTTTAAATCTCTTTCTTCCAGTGAGTTTATTGGGCTTTTTTTCTCTGAATCTTGCAATTATAATTAAAGTTTCACCCATTTTTAAACCATTGGTATCAGGTGACAAGGCCAACTTACGGCGTCGGAGCCTTGGGAAATTTTCCGAATTCTTGAAAATTCTACCTGCTCCTGCACTAATCTCCAGCAATTATATCAAAGGTTTTAGTTCGAGCACCACTATAGTGTCATTAATTTTTTTTTTGAACCAGGAGACGCGAAAAATGTGCACTGCCCTCGCCGGAACCTCCTGAATATATGTTCAAATATATGCTTCCAATTGCACCATGAAGCCATGTGGAAAGGCGGGAGAAAATACCTTAATACATACAATAGAACTTGCCTTCCCCCCACCACAAAAAAAAAGTAAAAAAAGGGAAGACATTATTACTCTATGTATGCTGATTTCTCCGTTTTCATGTACTTTTGTTAAAAAATCGCGCTAATTCTTATGACTGCGTTTTACTTTTGAACCAAACTGATGTGGCGAGAAAACATGCGCTAGAAACATTAAGTCTTGTTTAGCGATTTATTACCCCTTTCTAATTAGTTAAGAAAAAATACGTTAATGCTAATATTCAAACTTATAGACTTTAATTTCACTAAAAGATAGACAGTGAACGCGTGTCAAAAAATGCGCACCACCATCTTCAATATAAAATGTATGAAGTCGAATTTTGATATCTATGAAAAATTAAATTCGCATGTGTTTCCCTCATTTGTTAACAAGCCCGAGCGGCTGAGCGGTAAAGTCGCTGAACACTGGTAGCTCGGTCCGAGGTTCGAATCGCGCGAACGGGCTGGCTGCATGAGCGTTTTCCTGGTTTTTCCCATGTGTATCGTGTATACGAGCCAGTTTCCCTTAGAAAGTTCTCTACGAAGGCATCCCTTCGCAGGCAGATAGCCCTCGAGGCTTTGTCATAATAACACACACACACAAATTTGTTAACAAAATTACTGGTTTTAAAGGAGAATAAATATAATTCTTTCCTACTGATGTGAATTTTTAGAAATTAAAATAGGTCTTGGGATATAGTATTCTGAATTTAAAAATCAGAAGAACTGCATGAAGAATGTAATGTTATTTCCAACGAGTACCTAGAATTAAAGAAGAAAATAAAAGCACTTTTACCACTTTCAGGTTAGTTTCATTTCAAATGTGCGCTGTTGCTAATAATAATATCTGCATTCAATAAAATTAATTACTGTCTTAAAATTGCTAAATAGAATTCACATTAAAAATTAAAATCAATGTTGAAAAACAAAATTATTGGACTTTTTTACATTTATTTGCACCAAGTTAGACTTCATTATGTTTAACATGACAGACAGCATTTTATGTGTATGTTATTATTGTATATGGGATTTTAAAATCCAATTTATAAATAACTATTTTATTTCAAATAATAATAAATAATAGGAGTTAATCATACAAGGAACTGAGTTCCCCTTTCATAGTTTTTATTTTTTCCCTGCTACAAATGAATCTTTTTAAAACTTGCTTAAAATATTTAAAACCAAGTTACGTAATTTTTCGTGATGGGTTTACTAGCCTAACAGCAACATCAGAATGAACATGAGTCACAACAGAGATATTTGTGACAGCGATTACATATAAAACAAAATGGGAAAAATGAAATTTATAAATCCTCCGAAAGGAAAGTGGTAAACTCACTATTTTGTTTTTTGTTTTTGTTTTTTGTGCGTATCATTAGGAATTAATACGAATTACACTAGACGCGGAACCGATTATTGAAAACTAAATAGTTGTATGCAGAGTGTCATTTCACGCAGATTGTATATCAGCAATGCAATAGCGATAGCTACATATGCGAACAAAAAAATATAGTCAACCTTATATTTCACTCGCGTTCAATGGTAAATAAATCAAGCGACCGCGCAGGCCAAATCACAACTTCTTGTCCCGCAATATATGCGGTAGCAATATCTTGATAAATGTCAGCTCCAGGAAGGTTCGGTTCGAGCGGCAGGACTTCTGGTTCAAAGACCAAACTGAGGTTCTACAATTGTTCATGAGGTTTGAGATTTATGGAAGACGAAAGTAGCTCGTTCTGCTACTTACAGTCAAACGTAAGTCCGTTCGTCATCGATCCATAGACTGTATGCACACTCTTAGGAAAGGATTATTTTCATCTATTCAGTGTTCTAGTGTGTACTCTAGTGTCTGTGACAGAGAGTCGAACTACGTCGCACTGATGGGCAATAATGACAATACGTCGTAATAATGGACAATAACTATGAGCTTGGATGGAACAATTTCTGATAACAGAGGTAAAATTTATCGCCTGATGTGTCACTGTGATCCATTGTTGTGATATCATTGCAGATGTTCAGACAAAATCCATCCTTGTCGTACGTACTAAATGTCTATATTCCTACATTGATGTAGTTCTAGCTGCTCCTGTCAACGCCTAAAGCTTCCTTCCATCCATAGTCTTCACATAAGAATAACGGGTATCACATAAGGCGTATTCTATTTAAGTATACACCTGAACGTGTAATCATTTGCACTTCGCGTGATGGATAATCTACCAACCGAATTTTTGGTGAATCCCATAATTCTTTACCATGGCTAGACTTCACAGGTATTGTTTGTGGTTCACTTCAGTTCAGAATTTTCCAAAGATATTCGTACACCATGTCTTCGTATTTACTTAAAGTCCTGCATTAATGTTTGATGTCAGTTTGTATTCTTTTCGTATACAAAAATATATTGACAACATTTATAAGATAAAAACTGTAATTAATAATATTTATGTATTAAATACAAATAAACTGAAAAAATTCAAACTAATAAGAAATAAGTTTTTTTAACAAACAATTTTTCTTTTCCAGATCTATGATGATATGTGGGAAGCAGATCCATCGGAAGTGTAAGTTCAAATTTATCATCAAATTTAACATTATCATTCAATATGAGAGTTAATAAAACTTGTATAAAATGTTGCTTTTAATTTATTCTCATGTGCAGTCTATTGCTAGAAAATGCACCTACATTTAAAACTTTAACCTATAGCCACGAAACTAGCATACAAATTGGTTTTAAATAGTTACTCAAATAATTAGAATTTCAATGCCAGTGATGCCATAGGGCTCATTCACCGCGCATTATGCATTATTTAGAAGGAGTATTGTTCTCAAGCATTGGAAATTTAAACTGAAATTGAGTAAAAAGAATCTTTTGAGTTGCATTACACAGCGCTACGAGCAATTGTTTTATTTACAAAGAGATCGTATCATACGTCTAAACGAACTAGGGTTAATATATCTAGAGTACTATCATTCGCCATTTTGGTTACAGAGACGAAATCGTTGTTTAAGCACTGGAAGCAGTAGATTAGAGAAGACAAGTGCAATGACACAGTCGTAGGACAGGCAAAGCAAACATATGCCCGAGAGGGTCATGCAGTAACGAAGTCAATCGCAAATGCACCAACAGTATCTATGTCATCTGTTTGAAGACATTTTCATTATAAATGGATACTATTCGGAAATGACATGATTTAAATCTAGTTTCTTTATAGAAACTAGATTTAAATCATACCGTTCATTATGATGGCAACCACTGGCTTCCCAACATAAACAGAACTATCTGGATTTGTGTCTATCTCAATCACACTTTTATTGGACTGGAGACATGCTGCCTTAGCGACAATCCCACTCATTCTTTGGGCTCGATTTGTGTGTTGAAGATGCTAAAGGATTATCTTGGTAAGAGTGTCTTATGCATACTAGTGTGGAATAGGAGTGGCTAGCTTTCGTTTTCTGCATTCGTCATCAAGCTGTAGAACACCATCCTACCTGGTGTGATAATCTGAGAAGCCGTCTCTTGAGACATCTGTTCTCTTCTAGTTTTGCTGCAAAACGTTCTGACAGTTTGCTGTGTGCGATGACGATGTTCTGCAGCCACCAAGCGAGAGAAGTATTATTTATTAACAAAAGAATGGTTGCCTAAATATTGCAAGGATTTCTTATCTTGCTGTGTCTTCAAGGATTCTTCAAGGATCTTTCAAGAATAATATTTTCATAGCCAGCCAAGTCCCCAGAACTAACATAGTTAACACAGAACATGTCTAGAACGAGCCTTAAACCAGTTACAGGTTTTTAAGAGTAGAACTGAATTAGATAAGATGTTGCAAACTTTGGAAAAGCATCTTTCGAAGATGGATATTAAACAACTCAATTAACTCCGTGCCCCGTCGAATAGCGGTCTGTATAGCTAAGCTACCTAGATACCGAAACTTGATTTATACTTATAAAAACATAACCTGTTCGTTGTCACCTTTCTTAATGAAACATTTCTCTGCTCCGAAATTTTAATTATTTGCAGAGATTTTAAAATAATATTTATATGCTGAGTTTCGAGGCTGTAGTTCTACTATAGGCGAAATTTTATCTGAATATTTTCGATTTTAATACACTAATATGTCTATTTATCTGCGCTGTTAAAGAGTATTGAAATAAAATAATAAAACACCACTTACTTTCAAAGCTGTACTTTTCATGTAATATTTTATTTATGTACTCATCTACCTATTTAGTCATTAGTTATATTCTTTTCTTAACAAATTATGCAATGAATCTTAAATATAAGGCATGGGAAAATATGCATTCAAATCAAGAAAGATTCATCAATGTTTCGAAATTTATTCTGCTGAAATACACATAGAGCAATTGTGAGAAAATTAGCATAACTAAGGACAAGTTAATTTTTCGTTAAAAAGTTGTTTTTTATTTAACCAAGTCATCATTAAATCTCATATTAAAAATTTATAACAAAGAAAAACAAAATTTTTTTGGTGGAGGGAGCTTAAAAACTGAATACTGCAGCGAGAATAGTAATATAAAAAACAGAAATTAGCTGAAAGTTTTAAATACAGGTAACCCTCGTATAACACGGTAGATAGGTTCCTAGAAAATGCCGTGTTGTGTGAAACCGTGTTGTATGAGACCCAGAGCTAGTATAAGAAAGGGGGGTATGTTCCGAAAACTTATTAAAAACAAATTTTTTAAATTCTGCATAAATTTCTTCGTTGTCACTGCTCAGTATAATCAACCGAGAACATTTTTTCGGTGGAATGAGATCGCTTTCACTTTCAGAATTTCTTTCTTTATTTAAAGTTTTGGCATTTTCTTCGCTCTTTAAAAAATCTATAATTTTATTTGCTTACTAGTTATTATCGGGTCAATGAAAATTTCTCGATATGGAGCTAGATAGTTTTGCAGCTCCCTTTTGAATTTTCGGCTTATTTCAGCGGAAGGGTCTGTATTCAAGAAAAATGATTCCAGATTTTCATCTAAGTTTAGGTCTTCTTTTAATTTTTTTTAATGTTAAATTATTAACTGCACTATCTTCATCAGTGCTAGTATTCTCAGAATCAATGTGATCTATGGCTTTGGATGCCATTTCCATCAAATCTGCTTCTTCAATTTCTTCTTCCGCTAATAAATCTTGAACGTCCTCAATAGCCATGTCGACAAAACCTTCACCTTCGATTGTTTTAGCAAGTTTTAATAAGCCTACAATTTCATTTTCTGACGATTCACGCACGTTTTCTATTTCATCTGAAGAGGGTCATATCTTCATCTAACATGCATTTAACGTTGATGTTTTTAGATTTTTTAGAGACAAAAATACGATGTCGATATAGTGCTTGATTAAAAATGTCTTCTCAGCTTCCATTACCTTCATTGATTTTGAATTGGTTACGTCTCAAATGCACTGTAATGCTTTTCTTATGTAATGTGTTTTAAAGATATAAATAATACCTTGATCCAATGGTTGGAGTAACGAAGTAGTGTTAGGTGGTAGGAATAGTATTTTGACGTTGGGATGATTCAAATCTTGTGGGTGACATGGAGCATTATCTAATAGTAATAGATACTTGAAGCTCAAATTTTTCTGCATTAAATAACGTTCAGCGTGTGGCACAAAACAATTTAAAAGCCAAGCTTTAGCTTTATAATCAGCCGATGCAAATTCTCCTTGAATTAGTATGCTATGAGTTGCAAGACGCTTTTTGAAATTTTAGAACCAACCTTTACTTGACGGAGGATTCTCCATGTTCTTTGAGGTGCTTGAAAATTTTGAGTGCTTTTTGTTTAATGATATTAACATCCAATGGAATTCTTTTTTGACAGCTATCATCAATCCAAATGCTGAGTGCCTTTTCCGTCTTCTCAATTATTGGCGCATGGGGGGGGCGAACTGCACGTTTTGCGAATGTTGAAGATCCTGAAGCAACTGCATTTCTTATTTATTTTTCATTTTTTTAATAGTCCGGACTGTTGCTTTATTCAAATTAAAACTTCTCCCAATGTGAGATGCCTTTTCTTCTTTTAAGTGACGATCCAAAATTTGTATCTTTACTTCTAAAGAAATTTCTAAAGAATTTCCGTTTAGACATTGTTTTTTTATCTTTATCAGACATGGTTTGGGACTGAAACTTAATGTCTTAAAGATGAAAACGTTATTCTTTAACATAACGTGGTTAGACGCAGACCGCTGACCAGCAGCGAGAGACACTTCTGGTTTCAGGCCACGGAGATGAGGATTCGAATTTTGAAACGTGCAGGTTGTGCGTTTCAGGGTACTTATTGTGACCTCATGTTGTTCACCTTTTGCGATAGTGAGGATTTTTTATATCTGGTGATTGTGCTGTTTTGAGACTAGGTATTGTTTCTGTTGTGCAACTGTGCTTACCGGATCTTGGAAGACAACTAGCAGAACTTACGAAACGATTAAATTCTTATGTATTTCTTATGATTTTATTCTTATGTATTAAATGACTATATTGGTGCTTTGCTCACTATGGAAAATCTTCGTATGGAGTTCATTAAATTTATTCGTATTGCTTGGACAATTTTGTTATCGTGTTAGAGAGAAACCGTGTTATAGGGAAACTGTATTCTAGAAAGGTTCTCGCAATTTATCAATCGTGTCATAGCGAAACCGTGTTACAGGATGCCGTGTTGTAGGAGGGCTACCTGTAATTTAAATTGTGAGTTAAGTTATTTGGACAATGTTGCAGTTTTTGCCTCAAAAAATTCGAGGTGGTGGGTCTACGAACGTTTTAGAATCGAATTGTTTTTGTAAATTCCAACAAATCGTTAAAACGATAACTAACTATTCCTTTTCACATAACATATGAACTTAAAGTTTCTTAAAATATCGTCTATTTATGGCTAAAATTTTCTATTGCATTTAATCCAGGAAATATCATCTACAGTAATGCTGGTGGAAAGTTGATCAAATCTGAATAAATGATTTGACCAAATGACAGACATTAATCCTGATTTCTGTAAAAAAAATTGAAACTAGAGATGATACTAACTTCCTTGCTTATGGTCGGGAGACAAAACGAAAATCATCTCCGTGGGTTAACTTCACCATAACCACAGAAACTTTGGGTTTAAAAATATTGAATAAAGACCATGTTATTGACCTTTTCTGATTGAAAAGGAAAATTCAAAATGTGTTTTTCCCTGAGGGAAAGATGGTGAAAGAATTCGAGTCACTAAGACTGAAAAAGCTGCTGAGTCAAAAATCTAAATGGCTTCAGCTGCATGACAACGGGCCATCACACAAGCAATTTCTAGTAATCAAAAGTGTCACAATCCTTAGCCACAGCCCTTATAGATTATATTTGGCACCTGAAAACTATATTCTCTTCCCTATAGTGAAGTTGCATCTCAAACGTCTTATTTTAATAGCGCTGAAGAGATGAAAACTTTCACCAAAATTTAAAGAAAAGATGTATTCTATGAAGGAATCAAGTGGCTGTATGAACAGGTCAGGACTTGCAGAGATTGTATACTGAAGACTAAAACATGAAAATATTATTTTCTTCAATTTTTCATATCGTACGAACTTAAACCTAAGGCTTTAGAGACGCACTTTCGAAAAGAATAGAATCGAGAATAACTTAAGTTCTTACGCAGCTTCAATCCTCAACTTCGTATTAAATCATCTATTTATCGCGACATTAAGAGGCAGCAATAGAAACTTATGTAACATAAAAGGTTGAGTTCTAACCCCAGAATCACGTAATAAGAAAAGTCCTATTACGTGATACAATTTTGACAATCGCTCATTAGGTAACGAATGCTTGACTGCGCTGCATGTGACACACAATTCGATCAAATCTGGTTCGTATTTTCACTCTCATGACATACATTTGACTTTATATTTTCCATTACGTTTAAGGTGTATAATTTGGAATAATTTGGTTGGGCTATAATGTGTGGTTATATCTTTTAAAAAGTAGTACCTAATCGCACTATATGCGATCTTGTGTTACAGCAGACCTGCCATACATCGGGTGCATAAATATGACTCAAAATTATATTATTCTTCAAAATAATAAAGGACATTTTCTTGTTTTAAAAACGAAGGAAAGATTTATTCAAAGTATCTTCCGTCAGAGGCAACAATATTTGCCCATCTGCCATGCAACAAACAGGCTTCATGAAGACGAATGTCGTTCGCAAAAAAATTGTTTTTTCAAACAATTCAGTTAAGTCAGTTTTTGATGTCCTTGTAAGAATCAAATCGCTCTTAAGAAAGGCCATTCTGCATAGCAATGGCGTAGCTAGGGTGGGGCAAGGGGAGACATGTGTCCCCGGGCGCAGCATCCAAGGGGCGTCTAATTGATGCTCCGAAATTTTTTAATGAAATATTTTTCATTCTTGGCACACAGAAAGGGGCGCAAATTCTTCAGTTGTCCCCGGGCGCTGAAAACTGTAGCTACGCCCCTGCTGCATAGATGGAAACAAATGGTAATTTGAAGGAGCAAAATAATGAATACGGCAAGTGGGCTGTACATTCCAGCGAAGTTAGCTGTTAAGTTTCCTTAAATAGTCATTATAATATGTGGATGAGCCTTATCATTTTGGGAAATAATCTTGTCGTGCCTTTCGGCATATTTTGGATATTTTTGCTTCAAATTTTCTTTCAAATTGATTAACTGTTGTTTGTAACAATAAGCATTGATTGTTTGACTTCATAGTAATAGGTGAAACGTTTTTCGTAGTTTTTTATGTTCTTTGTCATCCTATTGAAAACCACTCTTTCAAGTTTGTATTCTGCGGAGCATGTTTGCAGGAAATTTCCAGTAGCAAGCGGTATTTTTCTACTACAAGATTTTTTCAATAAAGTAATAAATTAAAACTTCCCTGAGATGCTATATTTTGGGCACAAAACTCGACAATTTTAATGAGATAAAAATAATTATTATGTACATTTTAAACTGTTGTCAAATATTTGTTATTAAAGGTTGCTGTTAATCCTTTAACAATCAGTACTATGAACAACTGAACAAGAAAAGGGAGGAATTTATTAGGAAAAACCGGAATCATTCTTATATACCCAGTATTTAAATTCATTAAGTTTTGAAAATATAAACAGATTTTATAAAATTGTGTAACAAAATACAATAATGCCTTTGAAATAAGTGTATATAGAGAACATTTCATGCTTAAGCACTCTGAGTTACTTTTTCTTGAAGAATTAGTCAGCTTAATTGCTTCAGTTTAATTTAATGTTTAATATTTCACTTCTTATTCCAGACCTTTTATACGCGTTGCGATTTCCTAATTGGGCTCTTACTCCTGTATTATGAGATGCATATTTATGAAAACGTGAGAAAAAACAACCATTAGAATTTCCAGAACCAAAACATCAGATTACCATATTTTGATATGGAAACTATTTCGGAGCGCTTGCATAACTAATTATTCTATTATTGGGTTTTAGTTTGCAATAGTTAATTACACAGGAGATTAGATTTTTGCAAACTTCGTGTAATTCACGTATCTTATGAGGGAAAGGAAAAAAATGAGAGCATTGTCACAATATACAGCAAGTGAATCTGAACCAGGTCTGGAAGAATTTTATGGTCTCACCGTTCTGATACCAAGAAGCATTAAGGAAGTCACATAAAGCTTCGTCATTTAAAACTTATAGCTCCTTCAAATGTTGCTGATACTGACGCGTTAGCAGACGCACCATATTCTGATTATAGCCAAATACAAAAGCCTCGTTGTCGTGATTTCGAACTTGGATTTTCACCTTATTAACGAAACAGTTTAATAAAAGACTATATTGTACTACTAAAACATTCGCATATATAACATGCTTGTGGAATTTCAGATAACTGCATATGATGCGTATTTATGAAATGTCACACCTTTGTGTCAGATGGGAGTGTAAATTCTGAATAACTGAAGCTTCGCATTGTCATTCGTAAGTATTTTTGCTTTTTCAAAATTAGCAATGACATTTTGTTCCCAACTGTCCCAAATTAAAATCTTTGGAAAAGAAGATAACAAATTACGTTTGCTTTGCCAGGATCTTCTGTCAGTTAAGAGAATCTAACAACTAGCAGCTTAATTTCTTTTGTGCGACCATACAGCCTTTAAAATGTGTGCATTTATGTATTTATGATGCTTGGTTTAAAAAAATTAGGGAAAATTTAGAATCTCTGTTTGTGAATATGACAGAATGATTATGAAATTGCTTTTCGGCTCAGCTTCATAGGCTACTGATTTACACGACAACCGTTAATTTATCCATTTTTAGAACAAATTGATTTGACCTGTACCAATCTTTCAATTATTACACATTAATATTATCATGTAGACGTGATAAATACTAATTTAACTATACATATGTCATTTACATAGTATGAATACCAAAGTTAACCCCTACAACATCAGTGATATTCTTTAAGTTGAAGTAAATAATAAATGTATTATTTCAGATTCTTTGCTTTAATCTTGATTGTTGTTCGGAGGCCGTTAAATTCTTTTAGACCATTTTTCATACTTTACTGAACGTTTTCTGCACGTTTAAAAATGCGGCTGAGAGAATTTGCTGACTTTATTGGTAATTTCACGGAAATTTCTATTCAGTGCTGAGATTACGAAACAATGAAACATTAACGAAAACCAATTATTCGACTGACTGAAAATATTAGAACGAGTTATTTGGTTGAACGAAATTAATTATTCTATTAAACGCGTTACTAAATTAACCTTTGAACTTGCATGCATTTTGTAATACTACAAGGAAAAACTTCTTGAAATCTGTAAATTCAAATCGGAAACTTACAGACAATAACATGAAACATAGAAACAAGTAAAGGAAAAGTTTAGTTAGGTTACTAAAAGCAAAAATGAAAAGAAAGAAAGAAAAAAAAAGAACTTGAATAAAACTGCTGAGAAAAAATTTTCAAAATTCAAGTCCTTCTGCTTTTTTCTTCCCATAGAATACTTACTTGAATAAAGACTTCATACCTTAAATAAAGACGTATTTGTTTATTCATTATATGAGCAATATTTTTATGCTACAGGGAGATACCAGAAGAGAAGCCAAGCGTACAAGAAAGTATCCAAGAAACCCTTCAGACCCTTGATTTATTCATGAATAATAAATTCCAAGAAGCGCTCGATCTCATGCAACCATGGTATGTATATTCAATTTATTTATTCATATATTAATTTCGCTTTTAGATTTAATATTTGATACTATGTGCCTAAAGAAACAAACAAGGCAGGCTGCTATGTCTGCATATTCTATAATTAAAAGAATTCTGAAATTTATGATGACAAAATAATAAAATAATATACATATTTTATTACTTGCAATGAGATAAGATTTAGAGCAAAATTTCATAGTTCTTTTATCTATCACATTCAATTGAACTGTGTATGGATTTTGTACTCATGCATGGTTTTTTTAATTAAAGCCTTAAATTAAAATGCCTTAAGTCGACTAGTGTCATAGACAAAATGCGCAATTTTTGCAAAATATGAAAGTTAATTTTATTCTTTAATACTATTATTCTCTTTTATTTCAAATAATCGAACAAGGAATATTTATCTTTACTAATTTCACTCTACTACTTATACTGGAGCTTCTGTAGACCGATGTGTAATTGTGGATTTGGCCAATTAAAGCTCGGTCCTTCAGTCAGCAATCGGAGTTTTTACTCTTGAATTTGTTAATTTAAGCAACTAATGAAACTTGTTTCTATTCCTTATTTTAATAAAAGTTTAAAATGGAAAATTTGCTACTTTTTTTTTCGATACTGGGTAATATTTTCGTGTGCTATGTTTTTATTGTACATCAGGATACCTTTTAGTTTGTTTTTTTCGACAAATTCCAAACTTTAGCCGGTTTAATGAAACTAGGCAAAACATATAATTTAAGAGCTTTTTTCAGGGCTTTGAGAGTTCACCAACTAGAAATTAAAATCACCAGAAAATACCCTTTCAAATTTTGACTCACCATTGACCAAGTAGTTAAATTCACTGAATAGTGGAGCTCGAATTTTCATGGATCCGGTCAAATTGCCATCCTTTGGCTTTTCTACCTCACTTGCTTTGCCTTAGTTAAATTTAATCAACCTTTCGATTTTGATTTTGGATGAGTCAGGCTTCCTGTAGACAGTGTTTTCATGTGCGTAATTTTAATCAGTTTCTTCCAAATTGTTCTCCATAAAAGTATTTCTTTAAAAATAAAATTCTTTGATTAGTTTGAAATAACAAGTGGTTGCCTTTCTTGAAAGAAAAAAACTTTACTTTTTCGTTATGAGGATTTCTTGAAATTCATTGATACATCAGGATTATGACAGATGGATTAATCCTCTACAATAAAGTCAAAATTACAGATTTACAGTTCTGTAGCAAATTTTATGGCATATTGAATATCTAAATGAACACATATGCTTTATTATCAAAATTAGTCTGGTTACAGTTCTAATGCACGAATTACATTTCCCTTCTAATAAACAGTTCTGTAGCAAATTTTATGGCATATTGAATATCTAAATGAACACATATGCTTTATTATCAAAATTAGTCTGGTTACAGTTCTAACGCACGAATTACATTTCCCTTCTAATAAACAGAGCGTGCTAGATAAAGGTGGATAAAAGCTTTATTTATAAATTTATATTTATATAATTTATAAATTTGTATTATAAGTTATATTTATAAAAACTCCAACTTTTTTAATATTATTATCCATAGACCAGTTTTTAATTTCAATTTCAGAATTTCTCAAAAATAAGTTAAAGAACTTTATAAGAGTAATGGATTGAAAGTTTCTGTAAATGGGAAATTTATCTTTCCCTCTGATTCTCGTAGAGCAAAAATCCCAGTTAGTTTAAGAGGCCTTATGCTTTCATAATTTAAACTCAAAACTTTCTATACCTTTTAAGCACAAAATTTGCAAAGTTACTGTAATCAACAGTTTCATAGAACCATTTACAAAATTAAGAGCGAGTTCTATTCAATACGGAATCATAATCGTCCAAAAAAAGCATTTTAGATTGTGTAACTGCTGTTTATTCTACCAACGTATCGAATTTTAGTCAATACCTCAAGTCAGCAACTTTAGTGTAGCAAAAGCGATGCTAATAATGAACGACAAGATCCGGCATAACGTGAGCAGATTTACAGTTTCGAAGGTTAACTAGAACTTTTGCTGGACAGAGAACTGTAGTTTTGAAAGTTGAACATAACCTTCGTTTCAACTGTGGGAGAGAGGACAACATTTTCAGTGGTTAAACAAAACATTCTTTTTCATCTGTGGAATCTCCTCTTCAGCTGCTTTGATTTTTGTCATTTACGTAGAAGTGTCTCCAATTTTCCTCCGTTGTTCTTGCGCAGGCACTCTGTCTTCTTTATCATTTCTATTCCTGCATTTGACTACTAATTTTGCTAATGTTTTTCTGATCCTTGTTACTTATTATTAATTTCTTTAACACCAGTAAATTATAGTGAATTGCATCTTAAAAAGCGATTCAAATCAAAAAGTGTTTTCGAATACCTCTGCAAATTTTTCTCGTAAATGTATGGAAATTTTTATTTGTAACTTATTAATGCTTAAATAATGAAATAATTTATGCTTAAATAATGAAAATTTTACTAGTTTAACTGTGGTCCATATAAAGAAAATGCATTTTATATCTGCAAAACCTTTCTGCCGACCTCGTTGTGACAGTTTTATAAAATTTCTTGCTTTACTTTGAGAAAAGGTTTAGTCAGAAATATATATCTGGAGGACTTTTAAGGAAGTAATACTTATAATCATGTTTCTAATAATACTTATAACCACACATCATTCAACCCTTCAAATATACAAAAAGTAATTAGCAGTGGATTTATATATAAGTGTGCGACAGGTGAAAAACATTCTTTTGCCAATTAGTTGCTACTTAGTTTGTTTATTCAGCATCCAGAAATAGACTGCTGAGCATCGCAATTTTACCATTGAAATTTTAATTTCAAGAATGACAGTTTAGTTTGTTATGTTATACTTCCGAACATGTTATACCAACAAATTGGAACTGAAAGACCGCTTCCCAAGTATTTGCTTCAATAGCCCTGGCGATATGTTACGGGGAGTTTGCAGCATAATTGCTCTCTGCAGTCCAAATCTGCACTTATCTGTACAGAATGTGAGTCTTGATTGGTTGTTAGTTTATTTCATATTACTATTATTATTTCTGTGTGAGATGAAGGTAATGTAAATGGCTGGCCTCCTGGAGTATACTGCATCCTAACCAAGCCTCGTACAATCCGTAAAAGCTTTTACAGCATTTATGGTAGCTTGTCAGAAGGAGAATCTCCGTAAGATTCAATTAAAACGTTCTGCGTAACGAAATTAATCTTACATGGCTGTCTTCTGCAGGGATTTCAATTCTAGACCACACCTGAGTGAATTTTCAGGATGATGAATCCATGATTGAAACCTGATTCCACAACCTATGAACAATAGAAGAGCTCATATTTAGTCATCGCGCGGAATCTTATTAGATGCGCCTTGAACGGTATGATGCAGTTTATTTAGCAAGTGAAGCATCGAAATCTTTCTTACAGAATGCTATTTATAACTATGTTTTATTTATGTTTAAAAATACAAAATAACGAAAGACCTTGAAATGCATTTTTTATGCTACAATGCGATTTAAAAAATAGATTCGCTTAGATATTATCTGTTACTCAAAAATATGGATTTCAAAGATCGTATACCTCCTCTCTCTTCCCGATAGTAACGTGCGTCTTCGTCACCAAGCAGAAGAAATTAGGGATTTTAATAAATTATAGGGTTCGATTGTTTTTCAGCATCAGCGGTGACCATGGTTATGGAACATCGGTTGTGGGAAAATAGACCTGAAGGACCTATTATAAAGTAGCAGATTATAGATTCGCTTCCATATGCGACATTCCTTCACATTGATACATGACCAGATTGGGTGGAAATATCACTACTTTTGGGCGTTTTTTCCCTAATTTTTCTTAATTAACAGAAAGCAATATAAACAAAGTAAAGAAACTGAGAAACTTTACAATTTTCAGCTGTTTAATTGATAAAGTACTTTGCATCGAGAGATAAATCAAGTTTAGATTTTTGATCAACTTCGGAATGTCGATATTCTTAGTGCCAAGGAAATATTACCATAATTTACTACACGCAATTTATCGCCATGTTATTAATTGTAATGCCATTTAAAACAGTAATCGCAATGTAACACTTTTCATTGTAGAAACGTCTTTAGAGGAATCTACTCAAAAATTTTAGACCTTCACATTACATTACATTGTTACGTATATATCTCTTCATTTTCCTCTGTGTTACTACTATGCGAAACGTAGGTTATCTTTCTTCAGAAATTGCGCCTAATTAATTCTCCGTTTGTAATTGCTTAACAAACAAAATTATTTAAAAGCACTCAAAGCAGTTCTTGATAATTTAGCTGATTATTTTATATTTAGTTATATAAGTCGAACTGATATAAGTTAAAATATTTGCAATGTTTTTTTAATTCCTAGAAGATATTTGTAATGCATTCGTTACATATTTAGTACTGTTTGTTTTCATTTATAGTTATTGTTAATTATTACTTAAATTTTTATTCCATAGGGCGCACTGCAGTTCATACCATGCTTTGGGAAAAGCTACTGTTCATTTTATTCAAACCATTCTCTCATTCGATCCGGTAAGTTACCGAATTCCAACTCTAAATAATTCGTATTAGTTTTCTCAATTTTATGTGATCCATAGCCTCTCAGCTTAACATGTAAATAACGAAGTGAAACTTAAGAACACAAAAATGCACATTAAAACGTTCGCAACTGTTTAGTAAACGACATTTCAGTGCATTCAACCAGAAACACGAATCAGAAGTTTTTAATTCTGTCAAAGGAGTAGGAACAAAAATATACTTACGGAATATGGTATTACACAATGTTTACATAACACGAGACAAGATTGTCTCATGTTGCAATCTGCAATTAATAGCACGAATAAAAAATGTTAAGAGTAGCTTCTTATACGAAACGGTTTTGTAAAGGATATTTGTCATTCTTTTGTGAATTGAACCTAAGAACGTGCGACTGGCAGTCGGGAGGTCCGTAGCTGGAAACTTGCATATCTTTTTTTTCTTGCTTCACACTAAATAAAACTTTAATTGCTTTAAAAGTGGCACGCGAATTAAAATATGGTGGCCGATAACTTATCACCTCCTGAATTTGGGGATCACTGTATCCCCACCTTTTCACTTACTCTTAAAATGGAGGAGAATGTAAGAGGTTTTTCTCCTTTCTTATCTTGTGCCTTCGCAGTGTAATTGGAAGCATGTCCGGCTGGCTACCGGGAGGTTCAGATTTCTAATCGCAGAGCAGGCAACACTGATTTTTCTTGCTTCATGCTTCGAAGCTTAAAGTCTAAAGCTTTATAGCCTAATCAGATTCGCCTCGTGAAATAATTTTATGAAACTTAAAAAATTATATGTGTAGATCTTTATATGTGTAAAGCTTTGTTACTTCAAATATGCGATAAAGGGAGCTGCAGCAAACTTTAAGTGGCTAAGTTAGTCTGAATATACTATTCGTGCCGCCAAAACGAGTTTTATAGTATTCAAATAGAAATGATGTGAAATGTTTATCGCAAGAAATATAAAAGGAAATTAGAATACTACATAATTAGAATACTAGCTTTCTATTTAATGCATAGATCCAAGATTATTTCTTTGAAAAAATGTTATAATGCATTCCGTATGCACATTTGTGTGCTGCGTTATTAAATATGTAATTCATCTGAATTTACGAAACGATCTTGATATGACTAGCAAAATAATGGTAAAATGGCGCGTCTACTTTACTCTGATCTCAGACAGAGAGAGGGACAGAGAGTCGCTGCGCTGACCCTAGTGACCTCAAATATTGCATTGATATACATCATATTCAATTCATTGAAGTGGCTTTCGGGCAATTACAGACGTTTGAGAAGTGAGCCTTTTTCATTTATGTTAGGAAAGTTTCTAACAAAATTTTACTCATTTTTTACCAAATAGATTTGTAGTATGCTTATTAGATAAAACATCGAGAAAAATGCATTCAAATTATTTTTATCTGCTATATACCTTGGCGCTACGTAAATGGTCTCATCATTGTTTAAACATCTCAACATTAAAGAAATAGGATGAATGATCATTGAAATACAGTCAGTGTCTTAGCTAGAAATTTTGGGCCCCTAGGTAAAACTTGAAATAAGTATATATAAGTATATTCATGCACTAAAAACCATATTAGCATAGATGGTTATAAAATAATAATAACCCATTTTTGTCAATTTTAGTTAAATTGTCTTGAAATTTAGCAATTCCAAGACTCTTTAATAGTGAACTAAATTTATAAACATCAAAACCACAGCAACAGTCTTAATAAACATAGTTAACTAAAAAGAAGGGAAAATAATACTAATCAAGTAATATTTGCAGTAATAAATGAATTTATGAAATACGTAATCAGAGCAGTCGTTTGCGTGCTTTTGTTGAGGCAAAAGAACCTGTTGTATTTTTCAGGTCAATTTTCCTTTCATCTTTATTCTGGATGGCAAGAAGCAAAAGTTTAATCGTATTTGTCCAGTTGTATTTTTTTTTTTTTTTTTTGGCAATCGTTAATGATTTTTAGCTTTCAAAATGATCTTTTTCCTGTAATAACAGTTACAGGAATCGTTAACAAATGTAAGAAAACTGTACACGTATGTCGCTTTCCAGTTAATTTTTTAACATTTAAGTTTCCAAATTCTTGTTATATTTAATATTTTCATTAAAGTCACATTTATATAACTGTAGTGCATTTATAAATGGTAAAGTAAATTCTATCAACGATATTTCAGAACAAATACCTGCTAAATTGTCCCATTTTCGTATTCAGTTTTCCTTAACGAAGATTATATAACGAGGCTCCAAAAAACCAAATCGATCTCTTACATTTGTCGTTCCAATAAATCGATAATTTGTGCAAAAGTAATGCCTAAAACTGATTATTTTTGCACAAATAAATTATCAGTAAAAGGCATTAATTTTAAATTATTCTTCACGGATTAAAATTTATGTATGTTGGAAAATTATCAAAATGATATATTTTCTTATTTTGTCTCTTGGTTAGAAATTCTTAAGAAATATCCAATTTTTCAGCCATTTAGTTTCATAGTTTCTTTGTATTTATGCTGGCGATATTTAAATATTCCATAGCTTCATCTAAACATATATTAATTTCATATAATGCTTTTGAAACGTAATTTATTTCAGTTAAGAAATACTTTATACATAAACATACAAATAACAATAAATTCAGAATTTGCTATTTTCGTTTTTATCTGCAGTGCTTCTTCCCGTTTCTTTTTTATAATTTTTGAGGTGGATTTTAGTTAAAACTTTCACAGTGTGACCATAACGTAATTTTACAGCATTTAGCTTGGTAATCTTACCTGGACAACAAATCGGATTTAGTTTTCCAAATATATTTCTGATTTGGCTGTAAAATTTGCCAAAAAATCCCATTGGTTTATACTTTTTCCAAAGAATAAACATATATCTGTTTTACATCACAAATGATGTCATTTCTTCACAACCATTTAACAACGTCATTAATAATGAAGTTGTGAGACGAGCAGGGCCCATATTCTGAATTTGGCTGAATAAATTCTATCTTTTGCTGTAGGTCGTTGGAGACATCATTCATAACACATGCGCCATCATATCCTTGTCCATGATCCTTTTTAATTGATATTTTTTTTATAATTCAGAAAATTGAGCGTGAGTTATTTCAATCTTTTGGAAGAATGATCGTTTACAGCATCAAATCTGTTAAATGTTTCTTTAATTATAAAATTTAGGGTTTCTGAGTTATCATATCTTTCAATATGAACATGTCTTAAAAAAGCACTTGTTTGATTTGCCTTCGATTTATTCTGAGTAGTGTATAATACTAAAGAATAAGAGAGGGATGCATTTTTCTGATTCAAGGGAAGTTTTTCTAAATTATGACTAGCACACTGACTGGTAGGGCTCAATGTGGCCCATTTCCTATTAACATTAAAAAATTTATTTCGCGGCATTGTCATATTTGCTTAAAATTTATCCTGGGATAAAAAACTGCAATAATAAATAGTATTTAGGTCTTCAATATAACCACGATAAGCTTATGCATTTTTGATAGCATAACTATAATATTAAATAACCGTTATAAAACTATTTTCCAAAAATTTGCCTAACATCGAGTTTGTTCTCCGAGGTCTTTATCAGTAGCTAATTTTTTTTTCATGCTTCATGCTCAGTGCTTGATTGGAAGATATCTAATTTGGAAGAAGTGTTTGGTATCAATATTAGTTTTTACCGTTAAATTTTTCTAGTCTCTAATACTCGAAATCCAACTACTATTACAATTAGAAAACACCCAGCAAGGTTGGCACTATGCAGCATCCAATAACTTAGAGTAACGCAACCAATATTGTGGCATTTGTCCGTACTTTGTCATGGATGTATGATATGCTGAACTAAAAATGCTAAATGCTAACTAATGCTAATTAAAATTGTTGTTACATAAAAGAACAGCAGTCCCTAAACAGCAAAAGTTTACTCATGCAGACTTTTCGGATGGCTTAACTGTAAACCATTTTGCAAAAGGGAAACTTTATTACTCGTACAAAGGGAACGAACTAAATACAATATCGTAAAGTTTTGTGAGTGTAGATATCGGAACGCGTAAATTGTACTATTTTCTCGCTTTCAAGGATTGATAGTTGTTTTCTTTAACCCTAGATCCTCTTTTTGAAGCTTAAGTTAAAGAGAAGAAAGCTTTATATACAAATATACAAATTTCCGTTATTTATAAAATGCATAAATGTTATTATAGTAGGTAATCTAAATAAAAGCTATGTAATGAACGTAGCGGTATAGTTATACATAAATTTAATATATTTCTTACGTATACTGATTCATGCTTCTTTTAAAAGAAGCTTTCAAAACTACAGAAGTTCCTCTCTATACAAACTGCCGTTACACTAGTTCTTCCATCTAGATCCCCACATGCAACTGACTGCTAAAGGGTTTAAGTATGTATAGCGTAGATAAGAAAATATGGCGTAAAGTTCCCTATGAAGGCATTTTCCCCATATCCGATAGCTCTTGCTCACTTCATTGGTCGTAACAAACAGACTATATCCAAGTGTACGACTATGTACGAATTAAAAAAAGAATTCTCTTACTTCTGTTTCAGAGAATTTAATATGTAATAAGCAACGAATGGCCGAATGGTTAAAACCTCTGAACGATGGGAGTTTGTTCTGGGTCTGAACCCACACTAATGGACAGGCTGTATGATTAGATTTCACATGTATATAGTTAATATAAACGAACTCTCCTCAGAAAGTCCTCCACGACGGCATCCCTTCCCTTAGGAAAATACCTCTCGCGAGCTTTGCACTATTCCTATAATTTAACAACCATGACCAGTCTGACCGCGATGTAATTTCTACATAGGGTTGGTACGCGAAATCTGCAAAGAAGACTCATTTTTTACGATTACTTTTTTATTGTAGCTTGATGACAAAAAATGAAAATCTCGATAATAATATGAATACATTTCATTAAATCAACTAATGACAGAGATTTTCGTGAATTCCCTCAATTGAAAATATTCTACCTGAGAC